AAAACGAAAAAAAATGCATATCTTCATTTACCTACCTATATAAACTTAGAAATCATTGTTTGATTGGGAATGGGTGGCTTCTTGGACACTATTCTTACACACTGAGAATAAAATAAAGAAATGAGGTGAAGTATCGAGGTATATTCTCATTAAATTTTTATATATTGACTAAATAACAATAATAATTTGCATACTTATTGACGTGTATCTATAGTAATTTATGATTTTCCAAAACATCGTATTTTCTTACGGTTAGTCATAGCTTTAGTTTAGGTGTAGGAAAAACACATAAGAGCTAGGTAAAAGTGTCGTACTTAAAATCGATGCGTGACACACTGCAGCAAAACGACGAGACTCATATGAAACCAATCAATGGCGACTACAATTTTGATTCACTCGGTCTCGTCAAATATAATATATTGTGTATAATATGTGTATAGGTACTCATGTAGATATTATGCAGAATAGGTAGTCTAAAAAATGAATACGCGTACTAAAATGACACAATTTAAAATGTAGGTTAGATATTGACATTTTACACGTATAAAGAGGTTTAAAATATTTTATGCCATCGACACATATTGTTGTTTATAGAATTTTTATAGTAGGTACATCTATAGAGTGAAATGTATAGTTCCACGTTGTATAGAATTTTTTTTTCAATATTAATAAACAAAGAAAAATTTTAAACATTGTAAAATATAATGATCAATTTTTTTAAACACCTTTGAAATTCTAACTTATCGATATTTTATTTTTCTCTCTATACATATACACATATACACACGTTGAAACGTGTGACCTTATTATACTCTACCTACCTATTTTATCCCTAATACAAGGCGTTTTATTGTTTGATTTTTTTATAACATTTGTTGTCCGTAAAACCAAAAACAGATGGAAGGTAAATAGGAACATATTATTATCTATTTAGTAATCGAGTGGCTAACGAACATCACGTGGTTATAATGCATTACTTGGCTTGCGATTTTACGAGTAGATACATCCAATATCGGATGACTGTCGGCGATACGAAATGAAAAATAGCTTTGTCGGCGCCGTGGGTAACTCTTAGCCTTTAGGCATACAAATAAAACGGGCGATCATTCTCTATTCGTTTCAATTAATAACAACGTACGAATAGAGGAGGTTAGTGTACCGTACCTATACGTATAGTACCGACAGCATATTATAATGTTATTCGATTGCATTCGAAATAACTCCACGCACTTCCGTTTACTTGGAGTTTTAAATTGCACAGGCACGTGGTCGTGTCAAGTGGGTACTACACAATTTTACTGTATCGATAATTCAATTACGCATTACAAGTATATATATATATATATATTGGACACATAGGTACATCGCACACACGTTGGGCGCTTCGCCGAGCTGATGAAATAAATTGGCTCGCCGAACACTCATATCTAAAGACCGGATTTTGCATAAAATGCATGTTGTTATTTTCAACATCATATACATGCAGTCAATGAGTGTCCACAAATCATTACTTGATTGATTAAATATCAAAATTTTATACTGCATATTTTTGCATATTCTGACGTTAATGCATGATCTGCATATTTTTGCATATTTTAACAAAAACCGTACAAATATACAAATAAAAACATAGATCATAGGTACGTTTATATAATATTATAATATCAAATATTTTACGTCTCAAAGAATATCTCAAAGGCTCCGTATAGAATTCAATTATATAAAGAAATGTTGCCAATTACACATTTACCACCGCAGCCAATAATTACCCGTTGGGGTACTTGGCTAGAGTCAGCCTTTTTTTACGCAGATCATTTTGAAGAGTTCAAAAATGTGATTGAAAACTTAGAAGATAATACAAAATGCATTCAAAATTGTAAATCAATTTTTAATAAATTTAATGTAAAATATGATCTTGCTTACATTAAAGCAAATTTTTTATGTATCGTTGAAAGTATCAAAAAGCTTGAAACCTCTAATTTGTCCCTTGTAGACTCGTTAAAAATTTTAGAACAAGTGGAAAACTCTGTTAATGAACTTCCTACTAGTGCAAATAGTACAATAATTAAAACAAAATGTAAAAACGTTTTGAATAAAAATAAAGGATTAATGGTTTTAAAAGAAATTTCAAAAATACTTCAAGGTGACAGTGCTAATTTCGACGATTTATCTGTTCCAAATTATTCGCTGGATATAATAGCAAATTTTAAATATGCTCCAATCACCAGTGTTGATGTCGAACGTAGTTTTTCATCATACAAGTACATTCTTACAGATCGCCGTCATAATTTCACGGAAATAAACATGGAACATACTTTGATAACTTATTGTTTTTCAAATTAATAATTTACTACCTTCAATAAAATTGTTCGTACTTTTTTCCTATTTATATCAGTATATCACCAATGTATCTACTATTTAATTTTAATAAAATATTTTTTACAATATATCAATGTTTAAAAATTAAATTACAATTTAACAAAAAATTAAATTTTTGTACTATATTATACATGTAACTTTTTGTTTATGAAAAATGTAATAAAATTAATAAATAATTATCACTGCAAAATTAAAATCAAATATAAAATTGAAATTTTATTTTGCATGTTTTGCATTTTTTCCTTGCATATTTTGACTTTTTTTAGTGCATGTTTGCATGCATATTTTACAATTTAAAATGCATATAAATCCGGTCTTTACTCATATCACTCTGCAGGGGCGAGTATCCATTAATTCGATAATATTACAGACGACGATGATAAAATGTTTAACACTCACCATGACACAACAAGGATATTATAGGTTTACGAAATAGAATATTATGAAGCGTCCCTCGATGTACAGATTACCAAGTTATCAATTATTGTAACGATTAGTTATTATGTACGTCATGCTAATTAACACAGCTGAAGCTTTTTTAAATTTAAAAACTAAAAAGGTTTTAAATATATTATACATTTATACGATATACTTATATGTATATATTTTTTTTATTATTTGTTTTTTCCTTTTATATAATATTTTATAATAATAGTAATAATAATAATAATAATAATAATAAACGTTTCAACTCTTTGCGCTCCAATACAGTAATAATAGTAACAATCAACGCGTATTTGGATTTGCATTGTAAAATGAAAATATGCCAACTGCACATGAGATAAATTGTCATCAAAATCAAACAATATGACATATTTTGGAATTTTTATTGACTCAGCTAAAACGGTGTTATCAGAAAACATTTAACTGACAACAGAGCGCAAAGTGTTAAGTGCGTCTTCACAACTCATCATAATATATACACATTATAAACAACGTTATAAAATCCGAGATTCAAAACAAAACATCAACAAATTTGTTAAGTACATTTAACATTTTTTTTTCTTTTTTTCATTTTATATGAAACATTTTTAATATTCCGACGACGTTACCTTTAAAACAATCATATAATACGAGACAAGTAAAAGCTGTCTAAATATTATTTTGTTATCCTTTTTAAGTTTTTAATGAAGGTTTGTTTACAGTGTGGTGTTAATTTTTATTATTACAATAACATTAGAATCCAAGATATGCAACTTCGGATTGTCAACAATTGCCTAAGTATTTAATAAGCAGTTAAGTATAAGTTATGATTACAAGTGAAGAATAATGAGAAACGTGAAGTATTTACGTTGCTAAACTTAAATCTATAAGAAACAAATTTTAACAATGGTATAAAAACGTACACTGTAAATTGCATATAATTAAGAATTAAATTTTAGCCAAGTATAGATAAATAAATTAATGTGTAATTATACTTCTAAATATAAGTTAAATATCCTAAGCATTTATATTTACATTTAACATAAATCACAATAAATATTGTAATTCAAGAAACTTGAGAATGTTTATAAATGTAACATGAGATGAAATTTGAGTACATCATATATACGTATATAATATATTAAAATTATGGTTTACCACAAATGTAAAATTAATCATTATTATAGCAAATATATTGTGAAAAAGCCATTGGTGTTCTTCTCGAGTTTCTTGATTGTCTAACAAGAATACAATATCCATAAGGCATAAGTTAGTACAGATAATCAAATAACAAAGGTATAACTACATAAATGTTACATAATAATATTGGTGACAAGAAACATGAATATAGGCGCAACTAGGGAATGCTAAAAGAATTTCAGCACCACCAAATGTTTATACCCTATTCTTTGTTTTTATCTTATAATTTTAATAGAAGTATATTTAATGGCTTTCAATAATGTTTAATTTAACACTAATCCAATATCTAAAATATTAGCACCCCAAAAAATGTAGGTCTAGTTGCGCCTATGATTACTATAAATTATTAGATAATAAGTCTAATGTCATTAACTTTAGTGTTTTCTAAATTTTAATATAGAAAGTAATAAATTATTAAAAATTAGGAAAAGTGGACTAAAATAGTGTGTTGAAAACATGTGCTAGTCAAAAATAACCAGCGTAATCTTGTAAGTACATAAATACATATGTAAAAGCTCATTCATTTAAAAATTATATAATGTTAACACTTAGCAACAAAAAATAAAAATAAATGGGACGGTGTATTTTTATAACATCTCACTAGGATTTTAAAAAATTCATAATACTTAATCAAATACTAGGTAGTCAACTTTAAGTTTCCTTTATAACAGATACATGACGTGAATGAACACAAAGCGACATGTTTTTTATAGCTACTAAGGGGAATAGGTATTAACAGATGTGGAAAGTCCGACTGGCCATACTTTCACCCTACAAATAGATAGAGATACTTTTAAGGAACAAGAGATATAAGAGATCAACAATATATGACAAATCGACAATAAAAATCATTTAAAAAAATAATAAATATGTTATATAACAGTAATTTTCTTAATGTCATTAATAAAATAATAAAAAACTTGCATCAATCAAAAATGAAAATGTTTTCTTTTAAAATTGTCCATTCAAAATTTCCACAACATAAATATACAAAAGAGTAACAATTCATAAATATACTCTTTAATTATTTAATTAAATTGAATAATAATAAAAAAAAAAAAACAGTTATCAGTCTTTCCCTAAAGCATGAGTCGGAATTTCCACATGCCATACTGTTAATACCACTAATCATTTATCATACTATCATACATGTATTTCTTGTTCTTCACATTTTCCAATAGTTGTGTAGTGTATTTTTCTTGAAGTATTAAATTCAGGTCTCAATCGTTTCAATCCAAATCTAGATACATATACTACAACACCCAAAAATGCTATCACAGCACAAAACACAAAAAGCATTACCAATTTGTGTCCGCCATGATTACCATCAACTAATGTGGTGCGTATTGGAGTTGGACAATCATTGCGATAAGCAGCATATGGGTCAAGAGGGTTTTTTGGCAAATCTTGGATACATCTTATTGAATCACTATTGCGAACATAAACCTTAGTGGTACGCAACCAACTATAAAGGTTTTCAATATTACAACCACAAGAAAATGGATTATTGGACAAATCGATGGCTAAAGATTTATTGTTAGATTGTACACTATCTAAGATGGAGAATTGTTCTTCAGAGAGTCCACGTATAAGATTACCTTCTAAGTCAATAAAACGTAAATGTGGCAAACACTTAATGTCAAAATTAATGCCTGTAAGTTGATTGTTGCTGAGATGTAAGTCAAGTAGACGAGGCAATTGGCAGAAAACAAGAGGTTCTGTTATGACACTTATCTTGTTTTGTTCAAGATGAAGTTTGGCCAAGCGACTTAAATTACTGTAGAGGAATACTTCATGCAAGTCAGTAGTAATGTTCATAACACCCTCATCAGCAAATGCATTAGTGAGATGTAGTTCTACCAAACTTTCAAAGTTTGAAAATACTCTATAAAATAAAATTTTGATGGTGTTAATTCTTAAAATTTGTTTGAATCATAAAAGAAAATAAAAAAAATATAGAAAACATTTTACCTTTTAATACTTAGAGGTATTTTATTATTATTAGGATAGGATTATGTTATTAAATTATTATGATAAATGTTGGGAGGAACACTTTTAAATAAAATTTCAACAAGAAATTTTAGACCAAGTATTAGTTTTGTTTATTATTTATTCTATGAAAAAATAATAATTTGATAGATTTTTAATTGCATAAATGATTGTATTAATTAAGTTAAATTTGAGTTTATGTAAATCATAGAAGATGGTATACCAATGTTTACTTAATACTTAAATTACTGGAATAATATTTAAAATAAATGCATAAATCAATCCTTATATAGACATTCTGGTACTGAATAATTCAATCAGTAGGTGGTCCTACTAGGTGTGGCAAACAAACAACATGATGAGATCACACACTAGTGAGTAATTATTACTTTTAATGAATATCAAGATAGTGACCTCACAAATTTATATAATAGCTTACTTAATATTCATTAGAGATGAATAATACAAGTCACCTTTTTTAATACTTGTATTGTTAAATAAAAATATGAATAATAGATTTTAAATTCAAAAATATAATTAAAAATAAAAATGGTAACAATTTTTTAACATATCCTAAAGTTTAAATAAACAGATTTATGTTAATATATTTATTTTAACAAGAGATATTGATCAAATTAAAAACAAGAGGTCACTATCACTATGTTATAACTATGATTATGAAATTTACATTACTTAGTTAGATATTAAGATTTTAAAAAAAAAGAAGAATTATTTGAAACTCACCTGGGATGATGAAACCCAATGCCATTTAATCCTATCTTGTTGTTGTTGAGTATCAGTCGTTCAACATTCGAAACATGATGATAACTCTTTCCTTTTATCTCCTGTATACTATTATTAGACATGTCTAGGAATCGTAGTTTGTCCATAGTACTGTTGGGACCAAATATGTTTGTCGGCAGCTCAGACATAAAATTACCTGTGAATATCAGCACCTGCAACCAAAGATAAGATTTAGTACGGATACGGCAACAAGGCACAAGATTGACAAGTCCTCATCTACTATGTACTAATCACATTAATACAAATTATAGTACGGATATGTAAACTAGTTATAATCATTAATCATCTATCAACAGGCCAGGCATTTAAAGGGAGAAAATGATATTTCCGCCACTTTCTATACTAGAAAACGGGGCCAAAGCAAGGTGACAAAAGAAAAATTAATGATTACTGAATGTGAGTAACTACGTTTCAAAGAATTTTCATTTTATTGATGCAAGTTTTTTCAATTTGCAAAACTATTTTCACGGCTATAACCGCAAATGACCGTGTTATTTTAAAAATATCGGATTTCTGGACCCAATAAGTGCCACCTACGGACTGCAAAAGATAGTTGATCACTCACCTCGGTTTCACTGGGCAAGTTCAGCAACACGTCTAGGCTCTTTTGCGTGGACAGCCCTGTTCCCGTACAGTTGACGGCGTACAATTCCTGTCGGTCGTACATCGTCCGGCCGCAGTAACACGCGCTCAGCTCCGTCTTGGCGCACCGGACCAATAGTGGCCCAGACGTAGCGGCCACCGGTGACGCGGACAGCAGCATCACTATCAGCAGCGCGGCCACGGAAGCCGCCGGTACGATGGACGCGTCCATAGGATCGTCCACGCCGAAAAGCGAAAGGACGGAGTTTCACGCGGGTCGGGAGAGCTGCACCGACACCGACGAACAGGAATCAGGGACGAAGCAGTGGCACCACCGGACGGACAGGCGACAACTCGTCGTCACCACCACCACTGCAGGCGGCTGCGGGGGACGGCGGAACGCATGCGAGACGACGATGACCGCTTAACGCGAACGGTGTTGAGTGATGAAATCGTTTTTATCGAACAAACAACCGCGCGCGCGGTCGACCTAAATAGTATCGTACGTGAGTCGGGCAAAATCGGTTTTTTCTCCTATATTGTTATCCCTTTTTCTTTTTCTTTTTCGCGCACTGCCTTTTTATTGTTATTATTTTTTTTTTTTGAGGTTATTGACACGGGGGTGCTATGGAGGTACGACGTTACCCGGCTATTTCGTTCGACGGTGCGCGCAACCCCAGTACAAAAATTTACTGTCACTGTATTCGGAGACGTGATACCTACACACAGTATAAATATTATTTATAATATATTAATAGCTATAACGACGTGGTACATACCTGCGACTATAAAATATTAAAGATCGAATGCGCTGCAGTTGGCTTCGGTTTCTTTTTTTTAAATATAAGATATATTATTACCTAAGTTACCCTTATATGGCCTTATTGTAATGTTATTTATCACATGTACCCAATAACGTTGCGAATAATGTAAAATTTTTCCTGTCTCAGATCGTAATAGTATGATTTACAACAAAAATATCTGAACAGTGAACGTCGGGACGTGTAGTAATGCGAGCGACGACCGATCGTCGTGCTGTGATATTATACTACTGAAACTGAATACTGATGTGGCGATAAAATGTAAAACTACAACGGCGACGATTACGATGCGCGTGATGCACTATTGTAGATTAACACGGAGTGGGGGGCTTGCGAACGATGATGCGATTTATTGGATTATCAATTACTATCGGAGCGACGAGAACGAGGCACGTCTACCCGGCCGGCCGACCTCGTTTCGAATATTTTGCGCACGCGGACGTAAAATAATATTATTTATATATTTTATCCGCGATGCGACGATCGGTCGCGGTCCTCCTCGGATTGCCGCAGTGGAAAAAATATATATTATTTTATGATATAGTACCTACATGCACACGCGTATACAAGGTGATTGGTTAGACCGATATTTTGCGTTTTTTATTGAAAAAAAAAAAAATGAAAAAAAACTTTTTATCCAGTAGCTTGAAAAATGTTGTATACAAGTATTATTTTTTTTTTTTTTTATAAACATGCATTCTAGTAAACCTTATTATAGATACATAATTTATCATATTAAATAATATCGAAAAAAAATGTTATTTTATTACATTATATTGTTATGTTATTTATTATAATTTATTTTTAATGATGCGTTACGAACCTTGGAGATTATTACGAGGCTAAATCGAACTGAAAAAATAAATAAATATGTTACGATAATAATATGGTGTCGAAAAATATGAAAAAAAATATTAACCATGACAATTGTAGTTTATTTTTCTATGGTTTTCATTGTTTCGATTTTTAAATCGAACTATGTTTATTAAATGTTTGTTCCTGGTTGAATTTTTGTAGATTTCACTTCGGTTTTTGGATAAAATAACATTACTATCTATATTTTTCACAAACTAGTGGAAAAAATTTAAGTTGTGATCCAGGTAAAATAAAAACAGAAAATCACTAGAATAAAATATGTATAAGATTTTCTTTTTGTAAAATTTTATTGAAACTATAAAAAAAAAAAAAAATACATAGATACTAATATTGACTAAGAAAATTCTACATGACGTAAACTGATCATTGATCATCCATCACCCTATAGGTACATCAGAACAACTATATCTCTTATTCTTATGTATTTATATTTTATAATAATATATATATATATATATATATATATATATATTACAGAAATAGCCATTATAGATACATTGTACATACCTTCCCAAACGTAAAATAATTTATACAATATACATACCTAGGTACTAAACTACTAATGTACCTATTACCACTTACCTTGCATAGTTGCATGTCTCATGGCTTATACGATAGTAATATATTTTATGTTTTATTTTATACACGACACATGTTTCATAATTATACAACGTTTTATATTATATACTATCGACTAAAACGTGCGTATTTGTCGCCAACCCTGTGATTTATGTGGACAAATAAATTGTGTTGCACGATCATTGCTGTTGATCGCGACGCACGTTGCACGTAAAATAATGCCAATTGACATGTATGCCAGAACGCTTTGTTAACACGAAACCAATATAAATTATTATAAGAATTGAGTGATAACCGAATGGTTATGACTTAATGAGTGCTATGATTGGTATTTTAATATGGTTACCAGACCTTGATCAAGTTGATTACCTATATGAAAAGATAATTTTTTTTAGTTTTTTAGGAACTACTAAACTAGACACACGTATGACATATTATAGTCTCTGAGATAAACAGAACATAATATACCAATTACCAGCTATTATAACAAAATACAATATAATATAAACCATATATAATAATCTGTTCTAATAGACACGAGACACCTATAACTTATTTATGTGTAGGTGTATAAGTATATAGCTATGTACGTTTCAGATGTTCATTTTTTTTAGCCGACACAAAGCTCTTCAATAGTAATTGGTAAATAAACCAAAAACTAAAATCGCACTAATTAGTCCTTACTATTTATCTTTTTTTTTTTTTAAATGATGTTTGTAGTATCGATTAAAATAATTAAAAATGGTAGTCGAGTGAGTATCACTATTCTATACACTGGATGTCAAGTTTCAAGTTAGTTACTAACTAACTATTTTAGGTGTGTTAAATTTGAATTCAACGATATAATATTTTTATGTACGAAAAATGATTCTGAGCGGAAACGGCCCGTCAGTCTATATCAGTTATAGGTAACACTAAATATGTTAATTATTTTACTGTCATTTAATTACTCTAAGTACATATTACAATAGGCTGGCATATTTTTGTCCAAAAATATTGCAATTAATAATTATCACGATATTTGTATTTAATTATTAGAATAAATAATAATATATACTTGTATCACATTATATAAATTTATATAACTCAAAGTTTAATAATATCTTTCTATAAATATGGTAAAACAGAAGAAATAGGATCGAATTTTAAATAGATAATAACTACACTTATACATGTAGGAGACCCCCCTATTCGCTCATCAACGCCCAGACCAAACTGCTGGATCTAGAGACTTGAAATGTTGTACAGGGATTCCTTAAGCAAGGAACAAAGTACTAGGGTAAGAGGTACTAAAGTACGAAACGAAGTAGGGGAATACTAAGAAAGGATTTTTCAAAATTCGACCTCTTAGGGGGCAAAAGGGGTTTTTTAGTTTGTATAGACTTTTATATACCTAGGTATATATGTATTTTTTTCCGACTGTTAATTGCTGTTTATAACTGGTATTAATAAAACTAGTCGTAGGTAATCGACGACCCGCGATTGCAATACACAATAAGTACCGGTAGTGGACGATCAAAGTCCAAAGAAAATGGGAAATGGTAAAACGGTGCTGCGTTTATTTATTGTCAATCGTCGGTCTTAATCTAATAGTGTTTTTTTGACCGAGTAAATAATGTTTTATTAACAACTAGTAAAAAACAAAAAATTAAAATTTTATCATGCTTATAAATAGCTCAAAAAGAGTCGAAATATTTTGAAAAAGGTAATCATAAATAGAAAATGATTAATGACAATATAAACACATTTTATGAAATTCATACATATTTTAAACGAGTTATATCAAAAAAATAAAATCGATTTTATCAAAAATGTAAGTAAGTTTCTAAGCGATAAAAAATGAATATAATATATTCTTTTAATTCTTTGTAAAACATTTGTATCACTTTGGCAATATTTTATTTTTATAATTATGTAATAATTGAACATTTATAAGTATAAAATAACTATATTATTAAAAATAAATTAGAATTTTTAATATTTTAAGACAATTATAAGAGTTTATACCTATGTTACTTTTTATCTGCTAAGTAGGTATAGAATATTAGTAGTATGGACAAAGGCAAAATGTGTAGGAACTTATATTGTCCGGCTTTGGTTAATGTAGTTGAAAATAAATTAAAAATAGTTTAAAACTAACTCGTATAATTTTGTTTGGAAGTAACAGGTTTTTGTATCGATGTTTAAGGTTAGGTTATATTTTATCATTTTACAATTAATTAAAGCTAAACCTGTATAAAAAGTATAATGGACCTTAGTTTTAAATTTAATATCACATACAATTCCATTGATACATCATACATCATTCATGGCAAATGACAACCTACTATTTGAAATTGATGTAGTCAGTCGTTAGGTATTATTTGAATTCTTTACTTTATCCAGCCATTGCAAATATAATATTGTGTACTGTTAATCATATCTGATTAACTTCATCAAAAAAACATGTACCTATTTAAATGGCTAAATGAGATGTCTTCACATTAATTAACAAAAATAATACAATTAAAGTTGCATTTAAAAAAGTACATGAACGTCCCCAGACATTTTTATTGAGGGGGAATTAATTTGAAAAATAAATGAAGATTTTTTATACATTTTATTTATAATTTATGATCATGTTTTGTCATTACAATTAGTGAAAAAATTTGAAATCCTAGGAGGAGGGGACAAGCACCTCGTCTTGCCCCTCGGTATTATATGGACAAGGATGACTATAAAATGTAACAAGTATTATTTGATTTAGAAGTCCTAATAAACCATCCTACCAATAGGTATTTATTAAAAACTCATGTCATTTCTATTAAAGTGAATTAATTTTAGTTACACAACTTTATGGATTAAGGTAAAATTAATGAACAGGTATTTTTAATTTATAGTACACATTATATTTCAATAATAGTATTATTTTACCAAAGCCAAAGTATACCTTGTAAAAAATAATTGAATGCATTATACTGTTAATGTTTAAATTTATGATATTGTTATTTTAAAAAGGGCGAAAGAGAATAATGACATTTAATAGACATAGAAGTGATGTTTAAAAAGAGGCAATCATAAAATAGTTTTTTATTACATAATAATAATAAATATGTGAACTGCCCATTTAGTTAGTCGTAGCTATTTCCAGGCTACTATGATAATTAAATATTATATGGTTTTATGCAGGACTCTTTTTTTACTCAATTCAAAATAAGAATATATTTGTACAGAGACTAATTTTTCAAGTGGTATTCAGATAATGTTTATCTGTCACTTTCCTTTTGGACAAGTTGGTAGTTGTAGTATGATCTCATTATGAATAGTGTAAATGTATTTATTAGATACTTTTAGCAATACCATAACTTTGTTTGATTTACAACATAAGACTAAATAGAGTTAACAAAACTATAAATACCTAAAAAAAATTGAGGGAAATTTGGAATACTAGATAAAAAACTTTTAGTGAGTTTTATATGTTTTATTGAAATAATACACTCAGCACATAAAACGGTTTAGGATTCCATCTCTTCGCCTTGTAACTCTTTAAGATACGCAGCTTTGGCGTCCACAACACGTTGTTTGCGTTCAGCATTAGTTAATTTCTTAGCGTTCCAGCGTTTAGGTTCCTTTGAAACATCCTTCTTCGGTTTCCTATCTCGTTTCGGGTCACTTCTGATATTTTCATGAGCTTTCTTGTACATATTTTCCAACTAAAAAATAATGAAATGTGTTAATTAGTAGAACTTTGTAGTTAAATATATTTTCATGCACAGAAAATTCTTTATAAAAATCTAAGATGTACTTCTTATATTATTTAAAGGATATTGATATGTCCTCCTAAGTTGTAAATAAGTATGGTCAATATATTATGTTTATCCCGTAATGAGCAGTATATTTTATATATCAACTTGGTTTATACCAAAATTTAATTTAATATTGTTGTAAGTTTTATCATAATATATATAAAAAAAAAAATGTTGTAATTTTTATGTTATAATTGATAAAAGTATTTCATGTCATACATAAACACAATAATAATTTAATATGAAGCTTATTTATGTTACTGCAAAGATCAAAAAACAACTAAAATGGAATTTTAACTATTATATACATCACACAGAAAGTTAAGACTATGGGAATAACTGAAAAAAATTATGAATCGAAATAGAATCAGATAAATGGTAAATCTTGCATACATCAACACGTTTAGTCGAGAGTTAAAAATCTACTTGAGGGAAAAATTTATATTATTCCTTTACACTATTCCTAAAAATATTCTATGATTTCTTAATTTTCTTTGAAGAAAAAAATATTTTTTTATTCTCTAAGATATAATATACATTTAGGAATTGTTAGATTCTTTATCGTGCCAGTGGTTTTCTCGAAAAATTATTAGGGTTTTATGAATTTTTTTAAAAGTTAATTATAATAGTACATACGAAAGAATAAAACTGGTTACATTTACATTTCAATACTTTGATTCCATTTTTTGTTGTAGCTATCTTTTCTCATTTATAAAAGGTATATATAAATATTGGTATCAAATAAAAAAATTAATAAAATTCAGCAATCCAAGGGTTAAAAAAAAAGGTGAATAGTCTGAGTCAAAGATCACAATATTTTCTAAATACTGTTAATTGCATCTGAAGCTTAGCAAATGTAGGTTATCAAAAATTAAAGTTTTTAACATTAAAGATTTATTTTAAAAGAACAATATCAAATATAATTATCATCTTCTATTTTATAACCACCAATGCAACAAGAAGTATTATTTATTATATTTTTAATTAATATATCATTTTATGCACCTATCTTTAATAATAAAAAACTTACATCATCGGCAACAATTCCTAATTTGATGTACTGAGAGAACTGACGATTGTAAGCATCTTCATCTTCTTCTTCTAATTTTCGCATGTATTCAGCAACGTGCAAGCCCAAAATGTGCTTACGATGAGTTTCAGCACTGTATTCTTTGGCTTCAGCATCGTAGCCAGGGAATCGCTTTACACTATAAATATATAAAAAGAATAATACCAGTTTTATAAATTATTAAAACTTAGCTAATTTATCTTTACCTGTGAGGAATGTTGAAACCTCCATCAACGGCTCCTTTCATTGCTCCAAAAACTCTAGCACCAGTGCTGGTTTTCATCAAACCAACATCTAGATTGCAACGGAAAGCATTTGGACCTTCATCTGCAGGTTCAACGTAGTATTCTTCACCATTAGCCTCTTTTAATCCTTCATACAAACGGTCCAAACCAAGTTTTTTCAATAACTAAAGGACACATGGAATTAAAACATGACATCACAATCTAAAAATAAAATAACTTACCCTGCGGGCAACCAAAAGTCCAGTGCAGTAAGCAGCAGCATAATTGGTTAAACCTACTTTAACACCATATTTAGGTAGTTCATGGCTGTATGCAGCACATACAATTTTGTCTCCTTCAATGCGAGAGTGTGCAACCTAAACATTCATAAAAAATTTACTGAAAAAATCTGTTAAACCATTGAATTACAAATTTAAACGAACCTGGCATGTGATGTCTCGGTTGGAGAAACGAACGATTAAACGGTATTTGGGAGTGTCATATTTATTCTTGTCTTGGACGATCAAACGTTTGCGAGCATAGTAGTCAGTTTTACCTTCACGACGCCTCTTGAATTTGACTTGATAACGCTTAAAGTACTGTTTGTTCTTAACAACTTTAACGAAACCCTGAAAGTTAGAATGTCAAAATGAACATACGTAATAGCTCGCCGATTACAAAAATATAGCTTTTAGGCGAACTAAGAGGTTAGCAATTTTATCCGTTTGAATCCGCGAAAGTATAAAACGGAAAACTTATAAAGGATTGAAATAAGTCTATTTATTTATAATTAATCTCGATTACTTACCATTATTAATACGAATAACCAAAAACGAACGACGTAAACCTAAAGAATACGCCGTGCAAAAGTAATGATTTTTACAGAGGAGCAATAAAACCCAAGAAGAGACAACAATCCAAAAAGAGATAACGTAACCTAAAAATGACGGAACACCATCATGGAAGAAAATACTGTAAACATTTCACGTGTTGTGAACATGGTTTCTACTCCATGATTAACTTTAGTTTCATTTTTTTAAGTTTGAAAAAAATGATTTTATCATTAGAAGAATCCTTATCATTATCACGCTATCATGGAAGTTACTTTATTACTAAATTGATTATATTCTGTGTCATCAGTTTTATGTTAATCAGCAATCAAAGAATCATCAGAATCATCGACTGATCGAACTATGACATTGTATAATGTATTTTTTTATATTTATTATAACATGAAATATAAAGATTTAATGATTTATTTTATAGTGCTTTGATAAATATTAAAACAATTTGAGTATAAAAATTAATAATACATAATTAAATACACATTACACAAACACAATAGACAATAATAGTATAGTACAATACACATGTTTTAATAAAAATGTTTTGGATTCTTAATGCATATTTCAATAAAATGAACTGTAGAATTTAATAATTGGAAAGACGATGAGGAGTTAGCTAGTTTAAAACGTTATGACTCACATCGGAGGTTGGTATTTATAACTAAAATTAAAGGGGAAATGTGAGTTTAAGATAACTAGATTTTGTGATGTAAGTAAAAAGTAATTAGGGATACATTATTTTATATATTTTATTGATTTTTATATCATTACTGCTCTTCTTTTATAAGAACTGTTGTTGGGTTCTACAATTTAGAATTGGTTTATTGTAAAACTTACTTTTGATATCAAAATGAAAAGAGATTTTTTCCTATTAATACTTCAGTTCAAGAAAAGATTGCTGGTATGATTTAATATTTAATTTTGGCTCTTTTTAAAATTGGTATATTTTTAGTTGGAGTTGAATATTGCTTAATATATATATATATTAATACTATTAATATTAGTAATGATATTCGAGCATCTTCATATTTTTTTGTATTTGAGATAATTGTTCTTTTGGTTTTAGTATATATGTACATAATATATTTTGATATGTCCTTGTAATTGTTACTAACACATATAACCAATAATAGTGATAGCATGGTTATATAAATACTAATATTTCTTTTCTTATTTTTGGGTTTATTGGGCCTTTAAGACCATCCCATCTCATGAGCAAGCTTCCATTCTTCTCTATCTAGCATTAGATTTTTCCAACTGAAATCATTTCCTATCTCTTTCACATCCTTTTTTATTTCATCTTCCTACCGCTTTTTAACAGTTTTTTGCCCATGGAATTCTGTTCTACTACTGAATATAGCAGTGGATTTTGGTTCCTCCATATATGGTCTGTTCATCATAGTCTTCTTCTTCGAATAACCTTCAGTAATCTGATTTCCAAGTTCAAATCTGTTTTTCGTTTAATTTATCCTGAGACTTATTGATTGATTTCTGAACAAATGTTTTTACTAAGTAGGGTTGTTAGTCCTGCGTTTAATCCTCAATCTGGAGGACCATTCAACTCTAATTAATTAAGATCAGTGTGGGGCTATTTCAGAACTTAACTAGGTGTACTGGGCAATGGGGCGCCAAATTTCCTAGGCCGGAAAATACTAATATATTATGCCAATTTTATGCAAGTTTAATTGTTAATTATATATATTTATATCAGTAAAGTGCATATATTCTAATATCATCAATATAAAGACCTAAATACTTAATTGTAGTGCTCAAATAAAGAAAAATTACCTAAGTAAAGGAGCTCAATCCAACATTTTTAAAACTGCGTTTCAATTGTAAAATAATTTAACATGACCTGTAGGGGCTTTGTTCCCCATATCCCTTTATTCATCACTAGATATTTTAAAATACTATATTTCTATATTATTTATACTTAATTAATGTTAAAATACCTATATATTAATGGTAATTTAATTCAATGGAAACTTCCCAGAAAAAAATATTAAAAATTATAAAATGTATTTTGTTTTTCAATAAATTGTTACTACATTCTACAGTATCATTGACAACAATTTAAATCCATATTTGATAAAAAATAAATATGGGCATTATATTACATCATCTCTTCATTCCATTCCATTAAATAAATAAATTTGTAAAGAAGCTCTGCTTAATTGCATTTATTTTAATAATAACAGCTAGGTAAACCATAATTGTTGGGATCAAGATTATCTACTCAAGTCATTGTGCTGAAAAAAATTTTAATTTTAAATTGCAAAAATTAAGATTTATCAATAATTGATGATAATATTTATTGAATGAAAATTTACTTTATCAAGACTAGTGTCTATGATACTTTCCAGAGTATTGGCACAGTTACTGCTAAATAGAATAACAGTGTCATCTGTGAAACAAAATATTTTAACGTTAATATTTTGGTGTAAGCCTTTTCAAATTGCACTATTAATGTAGCACACGTCATATAGCTTAGAAAACACTTCAATATCTGGGATTTCATACGCACATTTAATATTATTATATACCTACTAAAATTAATGTTTTAAGATTACTATTTTACTGATAGATGCATATTATAATGTAATTAAATATGTTTTGGTATGTGAATGGGGCCTTACTGATTTGCAGATGCACAGTATTTTTATAGGCGCTTAACTGTACAATTTAATTAGTATACATATATTTTTAACATGGTGTTATTGTTTGGATGACTTATTAGAACTTGTAAATTTTCACAATGTTTGATAGGTTGGGAGGAGAGATGGTGTTATAATTTTGGGTTTTCTAGACAGTTGCTTGATTAATAATTCAAGTATAATTTACCAACTAGTAATATTTCATTTGGGTTGTTTTTATTTATTGAAGATATACTGTTACCATTTCAGAGAAACTGTTGATAATTGAAAACTAATATTATATTGATACAGATTAATCAAGCATACAGGAATAACTCCTTAGCATCTAGCTTATAACTTGAAATTTCATTTTTTAAACTAAATATAAATGAACTTTTAAATATATAAGTTATAAGATTTATTTTATATATAATTTCAGATTAGATGTCAATAGAGTAAAAATTATCAGTTTATTTAGGAATTATATTGGAATTTCTAATGGGAATGAGACTTAAAATATTTTTGAGAATAGGTACCTAGTAAGATATCTTATTTATTTATTGGGTAAACGCCTATGTGGGTTCAAGTACAGGGAAGATCTAACATATTTAATAAAAACATAGTAAGAATAGAGATACATTGTCTTATGGAAAGTTATAATCAAAGTCAACTTTTATCTCAACTATTGGTTCTTGACTATCATTATTTATTTTTATTTCAATTGTAAGAGTGTAAGACTATATCTTAATGTCTTTGTAACCAATTTCATATTACTGATTATATTTTTATTATGATCAGTGATGAACTTGTTCAAAATAGTTTATTAGTACTTACAATTAAATCTAATTAAATTATAATTTTAAATGAACACAGTTAATGATTAATTTTTACATGGATTAGTTTTTAATTAATGAACATAGGTAACACATTACCTATTAATTTAAGTTAAATTAAGTAAACATAAGGTTGTTAAGTTAGAAATAAGCAATTAGTTAACAAATAATAAATTTATAAGATACTAAAACCACTTAAATAATTAAAATAAGTATCAACTATCGAATATATCTTTTTTACTACTTATTTATATATGTAGAATTTATTATTGTATTAAAAAACATTAAAAATTATAGTACCTGCTAGATTTTTTTAATTTAAAACTCTGTACCCAATGAATTAATGTATTAAACTCATTAAATATTCATATATATATATTTTTATACGTGTCTATTTAGGAATTGAGGAACTTTTTTACTTCCTGTATGATTTATTAAACCATAACTTATACAATATAATTGTTGTATTTTTTTGACGGTTTTTGAACTAATTTCTATCAAGTAAAGGTGTAAAATGTATTTTTTTCTTTTAAATGTTCTGTTATATGTTTATAAGGTAAAAATATATTTTAGACAGGTTCTTACGATTATAATTTTTTGAATTATATTAAAATTTTCAAACATTTATTTTATGAATACTTATGATTTATTATATAATAATATCTATAATCAATGGCAAATGGCAACTCACATTTCGTTTTGTTTAGGTTAATTAATGATGTGGTGAGTTGTATTTGATATATAATTTAATAAATTAAATACTTTGCATGTACAATAATCCTTGATCTAAAAATTCAATAGGCATAACTATAAAATACATTTTTGGATGATAAGGGTCAGTATTTTTTTCACATTTAGTTTGCAATTTGATTTAAAATTGTTTTTGACCATATATTTACAACTATGCAATGATTATAATTTTTTGAATTACTTAGTTATGTTAAAAAAAAAAAATAATGACGTAGTTATAAAATAGAACCACAGTGACGTAAGATTTCGAATTTAGTTTTTTCTGTATTCTTAAAAAAATATTAATTTCTGCAATGCATAGTTTAATATTACGAAACAATACATGTTCTGAATAACAGAAAATAAATTTTTATCAGTATAGGTTAGTTATCCAAAATATCTCAATCGGTATTTCATAATTTTATTGAGAGTTGTGTAGGTATTATAGTATGTACACTAATTTAATTGTATTTAGAGAGCTTTATGAGTTGTAATTTCATTTAATGTAAAATAACGATAAAATATTTTAAAATTTGGTAAATTTTACAGTGAAAAAATCTAATACATTTTTATACGTTGAACAACAACAAAATAATGATTAACATACTAATTTACTAATATATAGGTACTATATACAGTAAAGTTTTTAACAATAGTGTCGTAATTAGAAATTTACTCTGACGAGAGGTGGGGAATTATTTTTAAATTATATAACAATTTAAAATTTTAGAGGTATGATATACCTATGTGTATAATATGGCATGCGTCTAAATTTCCTTTAAACTATACAAAAATAAATATCGCACCTGGGTCTTTAAAAGTGTAATACATATTAAATAGCTATAGTTTAATAATATACACAATATAGGTATACGAAACAATA